TTTTTTTTGCCAGTGAGTGAAATATATATTAATTACTCCATGTCCTAACAATATCTATGTCAAAAATATCATTTATTTCTGACAGACTTCCCTACCCTTAGTTTAGGTTCAACCATTTTTTAGACACTTCTTTATCTTTAGTTTAAGTTCATTCGTTTTTCAAACTCTTTTCAATTACATTAAACATGTCCATGGATTTTCCTACAGCGCTTGTCATCAATATGCATTCCGCCCTTCATTGCTGCGGCGCTTTACAAAAATGTGAAAAATTTAATTTTCATGTTTTTCATTTTTAGTATATATAGAAAACAGAAAATTGTGTGTGTGTATGTTTGTGTGCGTTTGTGCATGTGTAACATGGCAGAAAAAAGGTTTCAACACTCGCTCTGAGTTTCGGTTTCAATTTTTGCATTATTTTTGATCAGCTGTCAGTTTTCTGCCTTGATGCGTCCAATCAAAATTCAATGCTCGACCGCTCTCGGTTTTGCATCTTTGGATATTTTCTTTGGCTGGCAACATTTTGTGGGCATTCGCTGCTTACTGCTTGTTGCTTGCTGACTGCCAGCTATTTGCTTAGCTTGATTAATAACCGGAGCTGTAATTTTAATTAAACGAATCCAGCTTAATTTATGCAATTCATATGGCATTTCATCATTTTGCACTTGTCATGCAGCCCCAAACGACGGCGCCCAACTCAGAGCTTAACGTTTCGCAAGGCAGCGTAACAGAAGCTGTTCAAGTTTGTCTCCTAATGGTTGATTGCCATGGGCTTACAGCGAAGAGGGGCGAATGAAAGGAGGAGTAAGAATAAAAGAGAAATAAAAAAAAAACTTTGCCTTAAAATTTCACTCATATTTTTTTGTCATTTCATTATAAAATATAAATACGAAACAAAACTATTGTATTAACTTTTATTTCCTATATTTAATTACAAATTTTATATTAAAATTACATTGGTTTATTGCTTAAACTTTTTTAAGATATTAGAAATAAACCAATAAATATATTTATTTTACATTCAAAAATTCTAATAGTTTGTAGACTAAATATATTTTACGAAAATTGAAATTATTAAAAAAAAAAAAATAAAATAATTTAGATGAAAATAAGACTAATCAGTTTTAATTTCATCTAAATATTGTTGAGAAATTATAACTTCATATATATTTTTAGAATACATCTATATAACAAGCAATGAGTCAAGCCGAAAACAGATTTTTTTCTTAGTTTGATAAACAATTTAAATTTAAATTAATATATAAAAGACCAAGCCAGACAGACTCAATTAGTGCTCACACTTTTCTCTCTTTATTTAATAAATAGCAAAGCCCCCCTTTGCCTAAGTTCCTACGGCTCTGTGTGCCGTTTCAACTGGCAACTGACAGCTGACAACTCATTTAGAATTACAAGAGCTATAGAAACAAGAATAACAATGACGACAAGTTTGATGAACAGTCAGCTTAAGGAGCATTGAGATACAAACCCACATACACGGACACACACGCACACACACACACACGCACACACATGCTTAATGAAACTTTTGAGCAAGAATCTGCATATGCAAATTAACCGGGTTAGCCTTTCAATAAAGAGGATACCCTATATAGCTCGCACATGCACAGCTACTCAGCTGTATTTAATATAGTGTGCAGTCTCAATTAAAACCCAATTAGGCAACGGCCATTAGACAAACGGTATTAACTTTATTGTGCGTCTCATTTGCAGGTCAAGACCCACAAAGACAGACGATCCAAGCCGGAAATGTTGACCTTTGTCAACCACACCGAATGCCATTGCATCGATCGCAGTAACTACTATGCAGAGGGCATCATCTCCAGCAACGGTGCAGTAGTGCAGCGTGCCACCATGCTCAACTGCAACTGTCCAGTGCACTTCGAGCGCATCCTACAGAACGATGGGCAATGCAGATGCGATTGTTCCTCGAGCAACTACGATTGCGACTATCGCAAGCGGGGCAGCGAGCACTTCTCCTTGGAAGATCGCAAGTGAGTAAAGATTGAAGGAACTAAAGTCTCTTTACTCATATGTAAATATCTTATATTTCTATTTTCCTTCCTCTCCTCTGCATAGGTGCATCAAGGAGGGACGCTGCAAGCCGCCCACCTGCCAATATGGGCCATATATGGAGAAGATTGGACGTTGTCCCAATTATCATGAGCAGACCTCGCATCCGATGAACAACTACAATGCAGTGGACATGTCGTAAATGCATAGCACGGAACTGGAACCGAAACCGGAACCGGAGCACAACAAGTATTAGTATAAAAACAGTTATACGAAAAGGAGTTAAACGACATAGCGAATGAATTGAATTTATAGAATTCAATTCAAATCAAGTTTTGAGTTCGAAATCGAATGCCGAAACCTGTCGAAAGAGAAACGGAAGGGAATTTAGTTGCATATCCTATACAGAACACGAACATATATCCGCTGATCGAAATTAGCTCTTATACAGCACCTTTTTTGCGACCCTAATTCAGATCGTCTTTAATAGCTGTAAAGATTCAAAACGAAAAACAAAACTTTAAAACTTTAAACTTTATTCAAAAAGTACCGAAAAAAAAATCAAGTGAAACAAACTTTGATATGCCGAAGTTTGAATACCCTTGCAGAATAATGATTGATCTGAGGAAAATCAAATTTCCTTTTATTAAAGTAGAGTTCTAAAGCGAAATCGATGTGTTTTCGATGTATAGTTGATGCTGATTATTATAATCTATTAAATTAGAAAAAACAAAAACTCAATAATTCTATTGTATTAATTGTGTGTGAAGCAAAAAATAAAGAAAATATTCCAAAATATAAATTGACTGGATCTTAGTTTAAATTTACTAATGTTATGTTATTTAATTATAAAAACTAAAAACAAAAACGAAAAAAAAAGAAAAAATATAAAATACATTAAACATAATATTATTAGCAATTTTAATCATATAAAATACGAATATATAGGATATATATAAATATGTTTAGAGAGAATTATCCCCACTCAAGTCGAATACAAAAGAGGAAGAGGAAGAGATAAACTCAATACTGCTCACAATATAATTACACACAGAGAGAAAACGAAATGTTAAGCATTTGGTATTAATTAAATACTAACACATATATTTTAATTTCTAGTCAAAGTTGTTCTTGTACATGATTTGTCTCAATCGAGAGCATTTAATGAGCATATTATAAACATACATACATAAATACCATATATATAGAGCGTATCTATACATATTATCCAATGAAATAAATACATATATATCCGACTGTATCTACTTGTAGCTATCATTAACTCTTCATCTCGATCACACTAACTTTCGCTCTTTCTCTCTCTCTCTCTCTCTACACATATTATCTATACCGAATTGTTTATTAATTCAAAAGCCATTCAATAAACCCACCAACAACACATGCAACAACAACAACAGCTGCAACAAAGACAAAACGAAAATAATTTTAAATTTCAGTTTAAATATACAAATTTATTTTAGATAATTCCGTTTGTAAACGTTTGGCAATAAATTGCAAAAAGCAAAAAATAAATCAATGAAATTAATATTAGAATATTATAGTATTTAATTGTACATGTTTTATGTTCGATTAAGCCATTTATTTTGCAATTGAAATGAATCGCAAATGCATTAGAGAAAACTGAGATAAACATTTATTCATTTTATTTTATGAGCCTATTCAAAAATCGATTCATTTCAAAGTATTCAGCAACAATGAGCCATTATTCATATTTATTAAACTCCACACACACACACGTACAGACATAAATATTTAAGCATTTATGTCTTGTTTTTAAAGTTATATTAGAATTAGAAATACATATTATATATGCATTAATATATGCAAAATACAAACCAAACATTTCAACACATTTTATTTCTAACTTTAGCATAAATTTTAATGTAAAGAAAAACAAAAAACAAATTTAAGTATCACCATACACCATACTTAAATAATTGATGAAATTATTATTACTATGCGAAAATCCAAATAAATACAATAAAAAAGCAAAACAAATATATATGTGTGTATATTAAAACAGCTGTGGTTTCATTGCAAAGCTATATTTGCACGGGTTGACAGTGTATCAACGTTAATAAACATAAATTACTCAAATGTTTATATAGAGGGATTTTAAGCAAATAGGTATTTAACAGTCAACTTAGCATCGTTTCTATTCGATAAGCAACAGCTTTTATTTAACACGCAACTGTTGAATCGACTGCCCCTGCGGGTATGCAATGAAATTTATTACAGATTTCTTGGCCTTGCACTCGATTCCATTTGAACTGAATGAGTGTAACTAATAAAAAAAGTTGTCTTTGATTTGATTGGGAAATGAGCTAGCCGCAGTTCCATTCCACAGTGTAAATCGGGTCCTGTCTTAAGCCCTGACCAAATTACAATTCTCATCAAGCTCAATGCGCCACCTGTCGTTGAACTGCGGCATAACAGCTAGCTTATGTACACGGTAATCTCTCACGCTCTTGTTGGCACTTTTAGCCATGCTAATGATAATGGCTGAGCAGCTGGCAAACTTCTAATGAAAATGCATAACAAATGGCTTATCTGCTAGCACATATCCACACACTTACACACACACACACACACTAACCGCAATAGGGAAAACAAAACACGCAACACACGTAGTTTTCCCGCACACACACACACACGCAGACACATGCGAAGGCAGGTTTGAGCATTATGATCTAAAATTTATAGAATTTATAAACAGGCAGCGCCCAAAAGGGTTAATGATGCGGGCTCCCTCTGGCGGCGAAGATGGCAAGCAAACTAAGAGAGAGACAAAATAGAAAGAGAGAGTGAGATGGAGTAAAAGAGAGGGCGAATAAGAGAGTAATTAAAGTAACTATCGAAGACATAAGATATATATGAGACATAAGATATATTAAAGATATATATGAGATTCTGGTTCTATATAACAATCAATAAAAGTGAAAACTCTCGAATTAAAAAGTATACATGAATATAGTAGAATAGAGAGTCTAAGAGATAGGTAGTCTGGGAATATATAAATACAAAAAAAAGTCAAATACTTCAACTCTTCTCCAGAGGAGAAAATTAAAACAGGCCAGAAACAACGAAATTTACGATTTTTTTGTTTATGCAATGAAGAAGAGAGAGAAAGGAGAGGCATAGAGACGTCTTCTGCCGCCATCTATAGACAATGAGGAAATCAATTAAAATGGATGTGGAGGACACGAGTGCTGCGTATCCATTCGATTCGATTTGAGCATGTGAAATCACACGGAAATGCAAACAGAACGAATACTCTGCGACTACGCAAACAGCAGCAGCAGCAGCAGCACGTAGTGGGCGTTAATACGGAAGTGGGGGCGTGGCATGTGCTGCAGGATCAGTGCAACGCAGTGCAGGCAGTCGAGTGAGCGAACGAGCGAGCGCGTGGGCTCCCAAATTAAAGCCGCATACGCAGTGGGCGTGGCAAGGCATGCCAATGTCTGATGTTTGCCATGATACGCCTGCATAATTAATTCCCCCCCACGCACACCAAAAGATGGGCACCAAAGGTGAACCTGGGCGGCAGCGAAACACAGAGGGCTAGGGAATGGCTGTGCAAAGCAGGCCTTAAATACAGGTAGCAGTTGCCGCCGTGCAGCTGATATGCCGACAAACGGCAAATGCCGCAGCGCTTAAATTGCAACTCACACGGACACAAATGCATTCACACGCACACGCACACACACACACCTACTGGGACCGACAAGCAGATACAGAGCGCAATTTACATAAAGCTGCAGCGCTTGGCTGGCAGCCCTCCACTCTTTCATCGCCCTCATCCATGCTAAATGCGCTTAATTTCCCGTGCACAACTTTTTGCATACCCTTAAAAATAGAGGATGTTCAGAAAAGGTAAACTCATTGGATACAGTAGAGAAAAACGTTTATATGAGAATATTTAATATGAATGACTTTTAAAATTGAACATTATTTTACAAATTTTTTAATTTTTATTTTTTTATTATTTAAGATTTTATTAAAAATTGATTGCTCTTATTATTTAACAATATACATGAAAAAAAAAATCACTTTAACATTTAGTACAATGTCTAAAAATAATTCCAATCTTTATTATAAAAAATATACCTTAAAAAATGTTTAAAAAAAGGTAAATCTGAATAAATAAAATATTATATGCATATTTTATTATTTATTTTTATTTAAAATTAAAGGAAA